GAGAGAGAGAGAGAGAGAGAGAGAGAGAGAGAGAGAGAGAATGGTTTATCCATGTTTTATAAATTTCACAATTTTTGAAGTAGAAAAGTAGAGGCCCAAGTCCTTCTCCGCCACTTGTATAGAAAGAGCACATTAAGGCCCCTGGGCACTGCCCTGAGTTCCGTCTGGCCATTCCTCTTCATCCTCCCTGAGCGCAGAGCTTCATGAGGTGCTGGGGCTGAGCCTGGGGACCAGGTTTCCTGAGGTGGCCTAGAGCAGGACAGACCTGTGTGTGCTCAGCCCCTGTGAAGAATGCTGTGGAACTTAATGTCTTAATCTGCAGCATTTATTTCTGCATGAGACTGTTCCTCATCATTAACATTAACTTTTATTTTTTTATGTGTTTAGTACAGGGTCTCCAGAGTCTCACTACACAGATAGGACTCGTAGTGATCCGCCTGTTTTCAGCCTGCAAGCGCTGGGATTATAGACGCACGCCACCATGCCCCATCTCAGTCGTACCCTGAGGGCCGGCATGGTATGCTCGGGACCACCCCCCTCCACCCCTGTCCCTGTATCTGCCTAAGTAGGTGCTGTAATCTTCTGAGCTATCTGGCGGCCTTCGTCACTGACATTAAGTTAGCAGCAGATCCACTTTAGGTGATGAGGATACGATACTGAAAAGAAAACTAACTTCGCAAAATGCACACCTTACTTTGAGATGGGTACACCTCATGTTTACTCATCAAGTGAAATAAAAAAGTCAGGACTTAAAAATTTGCAAATGCAATTAAGTGTAGCAGAGAATGTTTACTGGAACTTGGAGACTTTACAGCTTCTCATGCATTGCAAGGTCTGCTCAGGTCCTGTGATGTTAGTACTTAGAAGGGAAACCCCAGAGGCCAACAGGAAACCCTCACTCCACTCCTTCCTTCTCTGCACCTGCTCTGGGGCCAAGCCTGGTTCTCCGTGGACATCAGCGGCCTCTGCTGGCCGTGATCGCTCCTGCAGGCAGATTTGTGCGTGGCCCCACACTGATGTCCCCTGACCCTGTCACTTGGTCACGTAATTCACGGCCGGGTCCTCAGGTTCCAGGCTGCTCATTTGTACACACAGCGTGTTCTGAGCTTTGTCTCTGGAGAGTATGGCTCGAACCACCACGAACTGTGCGGTGCAACCGCTGCTGCATGAGATTCGCTCCAGCTTCTTACGGTGATGGCTCTGCAGGCCAGAGCTCCTGCAACAAAGGGTACGACGTAGATGCGTGCTCCGCGCACTCCGCAGGCAGTCACTGTGGCCCACGCCGTCCTTGGACACACAGGAGCCACACGCGGGGTGACTGCAATGTATTTGTACCTGACGCTTGAGGAAACCCTGAGCAATGAGACTTGAGGTCACATGTCTTCCATGTATGACCCCGTCGAACTCTCAAGGCCCCACACCCTACGCTTATGCAGACAAACACACTTTGGGTCGTGTTTCCATTTTCCTGGTGAGCAGCACCTGGCTTCTCCCAGCCTCTGCTCCTCTCCTTATCACGGGGTCCCTTCACATCACCTCAGGGTTCACTCTCCTAAGCCTTGTGTCATTGACAAGTTGGCCAGGCTTGGAAATGTCAAATGATCAATTTCCTTTCCTTAGAGTTGACTTTCCAGGCTATCCTGTTCCTGTTTTTGATCCTTGATTGTTAGAAAAGAACTATAGTGTGCCATTTGTACTGACTATTTCTTGTCTATTGTTATATTATATTTATACATCTGTGCATGGTTTCAACACCCTTGCATTTACTAAAATTACAATACATGTTGCAGTTTAGCTTTGGCTTTTGGACTATTTGCTTTCCTCAAAAATGTATTGTGTGGTGGAGCTTTTGACTTATCTTTTATTATT